GGGCCTGAATGGTTGAAACCCTGACATGGCTTTCCGCTTTGCTTTTTTTAATATTATAACTCTATTATTGTTGTATTCAATTATCAACACACGGCCCTACTTACCTAATTTATTAAATGCTACTGAAAAATTATTTCAACTTGCACCTATTTCATATTACTGAAGCTGTAATATATTTAATTACCCATTCCTCTGCTGAAACAAAGAATAAAAAGAAATACACAGGTTATAAAACTGGTTTGTTTAAGGTGTTTCCCAAGACTCTTCAATAATTGAACGTTAGATGTCTTTCCCCCGAAAAAGAAAATAGATTTTGTTGTATGACAACTAAGAATGACTAGCTGAAATTTGGAAAAAGGTCAGAAGAAGTTTGCTAGTGTGACGTCCAAAGATGCCACGGTCTCAAACTTTTAGCCCAGAAAAGGAAATTCAGGTTTTGCAAATGGCCACCCTAAAAAAGGCTGAAAGAGAAAAGAACAGCAAAAGTAGATTGATACACTGTAACAACTAACAAGCTACATTGCAACAAGTGTGTAATAACTGTAATCTAATTCGGTTCTGACAGTAGAATAATACACACTCGATTTTGAGTACTCAATCATGAACGTTCCAACGAAGAGTGTATATGTAGTTACGTGACACTGTCTCAGTCAGTCTCAGCTGGTACAAGCGTATTCGTATAGACATATAGCTGTGGACCGTGGTGCTGCATCATCTGTACAACCTGTATGGAACAAGGACCCACCATAGCCCCAAACAGTTCAATCCTCCTTTTTCTGTCTACCTCTTGGCTCTTGCAATTATCTGCTGGCTCCCATTAAATCATGATTCATGATTAATGATGGATTGGATTCACTTGTCACAACATAACGCATGGCCAGGCTAATAATAAAAGCCAAACAGTATTTTGTTCACGACTCTAATTTCCAAAAACCACCACAGAACAAAGCTGAATTATGATCACGTTCAATCTAAATGAATTGATGCACACCTTTAAGGATAACGGATACACTATGCCAGTACTAAGTTACCAAAACATACAGTAGCCACACTGTCCAATCAGCGTCCCCTTTTGGCCTAATATATAGTTGTCTCCCATCTTGTCATTAATGTAAACCTAAATCACTTTTCTCTGCTTTTATGCTGTGTTATTAAAACTATAATAGAAGAGATCTTGCCTGTGCAAATTATGAGGCACGAATTTGTGGGTATTTTTAATACACGAAAAACGTTTCTGTAATACAAATACAAGGAAATTGTCACTTATTTTATTCATAGCATAATATATCTTAATATAAGATTCTCCTACAACCCTACAACTCAGCGAGTGTACTAAGAACAGTATGTGGTCCAAGCTAGAACGGGTCACAAGTTGAAACTAGTATTTCCTCTTTCTCTCTCTCTCTTATCAAGTCCCTGGTAGAATTTGTCATATTTGAGGAAAAAGGGTTATTCAGGATCACACCGGAAAACGTTACTCACTCAAAAGTACTACATTTTTATTCGTGCCAATTAAGGTCAACAATTGAAAACCAACACATTCATTATCATGGCATATTCGTGCCAAGTTTGCTCGTCAAGTTGGCAAATTGTAAAACATTCCTTCAAATATAATAACTGATCCATCCAAGTATTACGAATTATGAGGAGATAGGGGTGGTCAACTTGTATTATTTTTGGCTCGTGGAATGCAATGAAAGAGAAAAAAAAGAAAAAAAATTCTTAGGTGCATATGATAGGAGGCAGGTAATAGTACATTGCAGCTGAGTCTGAAACCTGAATCACAAGAGGACAATTATTTTCAAAATGTAAAAGGGTAGGGGCATTTGTCAACACTGAAAAGTGAGAAAAATAAAAGGAGGAGAATATTCCGAAATGGCAGGTGCAATTTCTAACTAGACAGAGAAGCCAAAAATGTAGCATCTTCAACTTAAAAATTGAAGCACAGGCCAGAAATCCCGTGACATCTCTATTAGAGTGTGTTCCACGAGAAAAGGTTTTAATATGAGTATATATGTTGTGTTACGTAGCATAATCAACTTCACGTACCCTATCCTTGAGATCCCACACAGTAAGCATGATTCTTGAAAGGGACTATATATATATGGTTGCTTTCTCGCTTGTCATTTCTCTATCAAATATAAAAGAGATAGAGATATGCCTCACATGGAATAACCTTTTGCTTTTTCTTCATTTTAATATTTTAGTGTCTTATATTAACTTGAGCTAAGGCTTGTTTTGATCGAATATAACACAACACAAGATGCTAAACACAACTTTGTGTCCCCAACCGTGCTTTTTCAGAGATCACAACTAAATACTCCCTCTATTCCATTAGTAGTTATTATTTTTTTTTTATCTCTTATTAATTAACATTCTCTCTAACAACTACTTGCTCATTTTTATTAAAAAAAAATTGACAACTAAAAAGAAACCAAAAGAGTACTTTTTAATTCAAATTTGTATCTCCTAAATATTTCTTAATAAATGTGCACTAGCCTTGAACACTGAGTAAATGAAATGGAGGGAGTACCTTTTATCTAAATTTAGACAAATTAATCGTCAGTTTCAACAATTTACAAGCTTCATTTTACGGAGATGAACAGCTACAATTAATTCTTCATGCAATATTCAGTTAAATGGTTAATGAATATATTAAATGCCACCATTAAATGACATTACAAGGGGTAGATATGTGCATGGAAAGATATGAGACCCTCTTTTCCATTTTGTAGGTTTTTCCATTTGATTGATATATAAGACGAGCAATTAATTTCCCTCCGTATTATTAGTAGTTAATTATAGAAAGATTTTAGTATTTTTTTTGGATAATTATAAAGAGTAAAATAAGATATAATATAAATGTTAAAAAGATAAATTTGTTTAAAAACTGTCTATTAATATATATATATATATATATATATATTATTTTATTAGAGTTTAAATCTAGTTTGTAAATTATTGATTATTCTAAGGCTAATTTATTTTTGTACTTAACTGAATTATCATTTTAACTATGATTTGAAAATTTTGAGAAAGAAGTTAATAAGTGAAATTAAAGAAAATTGGTGAAAAACATAGGGAATAAAATTGATGTTACAGATAACTACAACAACTCCACTAGTAGGACAAGAAGGTCCTTAAGCATAGATCCGATAAGGAATTTGTCAACGACACATGCCTGAGTTTAGACTAACCTCAATGTACAACAAAATTTAGGATATTTATTTGAGTTCATAATTTGTAGTTGTTTTTAGAATTGCACATTTAAAAGGGAATGTGAAATATGTTAATTGTCACTAAATATGGAAATGAACTTACAACACTATCAATGCAAACAAGTCCATAACGTCCATATCGTCCATCCCATGAGCTGCTCTCCACCCAATTCACACAATTGAACAAAGCAGCAATTCCTCCATATATAGGATGCATTGGTTGAATCAATGCCCTCGATATCAGTATTCCCATATTTCATCTTGTTTTACATAAGTAAATGAATATGGTTTTGACACTAAAAAGATACCTCAAGGATCCGCTTGAGGGAAAGTCTTGATTGATTTGCTTTTGTCAATCACAATCTCACTGCCTACTTCCAGATGACCAATTTGTTTTAAGATCAATCCCATACTTCTCAAGAAGGGAAGAAACTATTATCAAACTAAAAATGATAGAGTTAGTTCTCAACATCAAAATGTGTTGAGAAGGTAGAAAAGAAGGAACCAAGAAACACAATCCTTAAATCCAACCAACCCACATGCCTTGTAGAGATCTTCTAGTTCACGTTTGAGAGAGAGACACTTGCCTTACATTTTAAAACATGATGAAACAAATGTAGCAATATTAAAAATTAAAAGAAATTGAAAACAAAATGATAAAAGTTTCTAGAACAACATTCATTTTCGTGACTAGAAGATTGAGTTGAAATCACTTTAGTACTCAGGTACAGAAACAGAAATAAAATCATTTTTCCATCTATACCGTATGGTGGATGACTAGGTCGAATACCCCAGTTCGTGGCCGACTAGGCCGAATACCCGAGTTCGTGGTCGACTAGGCCGAATACCCGAGTTCGTGGCCGACTAGGCCGAATACCCGAGTTCGTGGACGACCAGGTCGAATACCCGAGCCCACCGACCACTCACAATCTGAACGGAACGTGTCGGTGTGCTCGGCCAAGTCACGGATTTACGCCAGGATAATTATGGAGAGGTTAATTTATGTAATGCATCGGATTAGCCCCCTAATTTCCCGGGGCCCAGTCCTTAATTACGGCCCAATAAGAATAACTATAAATAGGACCCCAACGAGGTACGTAACAAACTTTTCAACTACCGCATTTAATACGCCGAGCACTTACTTGAGCGTTGGAGTGTCTTTGCAGGCACCCCCCCTCATTTCGGACTACTCGGAGAAGGACGAGAAGACCTAGACCCCGGACCCGACCTGCTACAACAAGGATAATTGGAGTGTGTATCCTAACACAGGAACATTTGGCGCCCACCGTGGGGTCGAAGAGACGTTTTCAGCCCCTTTTAACTCTACAACTGAGACCGAGATATGGTAGTAACACGCAAAGGACCATCGACATCGACTCAACTGATCCCCAACCTCGAGAACAATCCCGTCATGACCGGCCATGAACGATACCCATATGGAATGCCTCAGACACAACTGGAACCTGTGATACAAGATGTCCGGCCGAATGCCGACGGAGCCCAGCCCGACCTCCACGGTGACTTGCGCGCATTGCGCGACGAAATGGCAGCCTTCCGAAGACAGAGAGAAGTCGATTCCAGGGAGTTGGCCGAACTGCGTCGACAAAACGCTAAGCTCCGAAGTTTGAACCAAACCTACGTGCCGTCAACTCCCACACTCCCAGAGGAGTCGGCCTATCATGCCCCACCGACCATGTAACCCGAACACCGGTTACTTCTTTGATTGGTGGCAAGATCGACACCACCACCCACTGGTTGAGACACCCCTTCTCCCGAAGGATAATGGAGGCAACCCTGTTAGACCATTGGAAGAGCATGCCGATCGAGAACTATGACGGGTCCACTAACCCCGAGGAGCACTTGAACGTTTTCCTGACACAAGCGACCCTCTCTACTCAAGATGACTCGGCCTTGTGTCGGATATTCCCCACATCGTTGAAAGGAAGGGCTCTGAGCTGGTTCACGCCATTGCCGAGAGCTTCCATTGACTCGTTTAGCGAGTTGTCGTCCCAATTCGCTCTTCAGTTCACGACGAGCAAACCGTACAGGACAACCTCACTAGCATTGGCGGGGGTTTGTCAGGAGAAGAAGGAAAGTTTGAGAAGCTTCATGGAACGATTCAATAAGATCGCCATGGAGATCGGCGACCTTAACCCAGCCGTGGCAATGGATCGGCTGAGCACTGCCCTCAGGCCGGGGCCATTTATGAATAGCTTGTGTAAGAAACCGCCCGGTGATATGAACGATCTCCGACGTCGAGCCGAGAAGTACATGCAAATGGAAGAATTGGCAAAGACTAGAAATCAGGCCAGAGCCGAGGATGGGTATGGACGAAAAGAACCGAGTCGAGACCCAATGAGAAAGGCGAATGCCGAGCCCTCAAATAGAAAGGCAAATGCCGAGCCCTCAAATGCTCGTCCCCCGAGAGGACCACGTTACACAATGTATACAAGACATTTTTAAATATTTGTCATGCCGTTCCTTATTTTAATATATATATATATATATATATACACGTTTAGGTCGCGCTCATGCAGGTCCAATCTCGAATAACGCACACGTCGACGCCGAGAAATCCTCGACTGATCACTCAAAAAGTGCGCTCGAGCCCGACTGGTTTCCCTCCCGAGTAACCTCCTCGGCTAAGGATGTACCTAGGCCGAGCATTACGCACATACGCCGACGCCAAGCAATCCTTGGTCGATCACTCAAAAAGTGCACTCAAGCCCGACAGGTTTCCCTCCCGAGTACCCCCCTCGGCTAAGGATGTACCTAGGCCGAGCATTACGCAGATATGCCGATGCCGAGCAATACTCGGCCGATCACTCAAAAAGTGTGCTCGAGCCCGACAGGTTTCCCTCCCGAGTACCCTCCTAGGCCAAGGATGTACCTACGCCGAGCATTACGCACATACGCCGACGCCAAGCAATACTCGGTCGATCACTCAAAAAGTGCGCTCGAGCCCGACAGGTTTCCTTCCCGACTACCCTCCTCGGCTAAAGATGTACCTAGGCCGAGCACTACGCACGAACATGCGCCGACGCCGAGCAATCCTCGGCCGATCACTCAAAACGTACATTCGAGCCCGACAGGTTTCCCTCTCGAGTACCCTCCTCAGCTAAGGATGTACCTAGGCCGAGCACTACGACACGCGCCGAGGCCGAGCACGCTTGGCCGAACACTCTCAAGACGAGCACTCTCGCGGATCAAATACACTTCGCATATCAAATCGCATGATCCGACTCCGAGGCCGAGCACGCTTCGGCCGAACACGCTCAAGTCGAGCACTCTCGCGGATCAAATACACTTCGCGTATCAAATCGCATGATCCGACTCCGAGGCCGAGCACGTTTCGACCGAAAACTCTCAAGTCGAGCACTCTCGCGTGCTCCAACACACTTTGCGCATCAAATCGCATGACCCAACATTCCGGTGCCGACCACGCTTAGGCCGAACACGCTCAAGCTGAGCACTCTCGAGGATTAAATACATCGCGTATCAAATCGCGTGACCCAACATTCTGGGGCCGACCACGCTTAGGCCGAACAAGCTCAAGCTGAGCACTCTCGCGGATTAAATACACCGCGTATAAAATCACGTGATCCGACTCCGAGGCCGAGCACGCTTCGGCCGAATACTCTCAAGTCGAGCACTCTCGCGGATCAAATACATCGCATATCAAATCGCATGATCTGACTCCGACTCCGAGCACGCTTCGGCCGAACACGCTCAAGCTGAGTACTCTCGCGGATTAAATACACTGCGTATCAAATCGCGTAACCCAACATTCCGGGGCCGACCACGCTTAGGCCGAACACGCTCAAGCCGAGCACTCTCACGGATTAAATACACTGCGTATCAAATCTCGTTATCCGACTCCGAGGCCGAGCACGCTTCGGCCGAACACTCTCAAGCCGAGCACTCTCGCGGATCAAATACATCGCATATCAAATTGCATGATCCGACTTCGAGGCCGAGCACGTTTCGGCCGAACACGCTCCAGCCGAGCACTCTCGCGGATCAAATACACCCGCGTATCAAATCGCATGATCCGACTCCGAGGCCGAGAACGCTTCGGCCAAACACTCTTAAGACGAGCACTCTCGCGGATCAAATACGCGTATCAAATCACATGATCCGACTCCGAGGCCGAGCACGCTTGGCCGAACACTCTCAAGACGAGCACTCTCGCGGATCAAATACACTTCGCGTATCAAATCGCATGATCCGACTCCGAGGCCGAGCACGTTTCGGCCGAACACTCTCAAGTCGAGCACTCTCGCGTGCTCCAACACACTTCGCGCATCAAATCGCGTGACCCAACAATCCGGTGCCGACCACGCGTAGGCAGAACACGCTCAAGCCGAGCACTCTCGCGGATTAAATACACCGCGTATCAAATCGCGTGACCCAACATTCTAGGGCCGACCACGCTCAGGCCGAACAGGCTCAAGCCGAGTACTCTCGCGGATTAAATACACCGCGTATCAAATCGATTGATCTGACTCCGAGGCCGAGCACGCTTCGGCCGAACACTCTCAAGCCGAGCACTCTCGCGGATCAAATACATCGCATATCAAATCGCATGATCTGACTCCGACTCCGAGCACGCTTCGGCCGAACACGCTCAAGCCGAGCACTGTCGCGGATTAAATACACCGCGTATCAAATCGCGTAACCCAACATTCCGGGGCCGACCACGCTTAGGCCGAACACGCTCAAGCCGAGCACTCTCACGGATTAAATACACCGCGTATCAAATCGCGTTATCCGACTTCGAGGCCGAGCACCTATCAGCCGAACACTCTCAAGCCGAGCACTCTCGCGGATCAAATAAATCACATATCAAATTGCATGATCCGACTCCGTGGCCGAGCACGCTTCGGCCGAACACGCTCCAGCCGAGCACTCTCGCGGATCAAATACATCCGCGTATCAAATCGCATGATCCGACTCTGAGGCCGAGCACGCTTCGGCCGAACACTCAAGACGAGCACTCTCGCGGATCAAATACACTTCCGCGTATCAAATCGCATGATCCGACTCCGAGGCTGAGCACGCTTTGGCCGAACACTCTCAAGCTGAGAACTCTCACGTACTCCAGCATTTTGAGGCCGAGCACGCCTAGGCGGAGCACTCCTGAGCCAAACTCACACCAAGCATTAATTCACGAAAAACATGAATTTAACCCCCCTTCGGCCGAGCATACCATTCGGTTGTGTTTATATTACTAGGCGTTAATGAATATGGAAAAAAATTGGAAAGTAAAATATTTCATTAAAGTATGGTCGATCAGTACGACTACTTACACAAAAAATCATCTTTATCCACGACACCAAAGACCGATCACAAAAGGCACTAATGGCCTGATTACAAGCAAGCAAAAAATCCTAACCCTAACCTACTACCACTAGAGTCAACCTCTTACACCGAGGCCGAGTCCTCCGGATTCCCACTGCCGACCACATCAATGATCGGCTCCTCCTCCCTTGTCGGTGGGGCCTCTTCGTTAGGCTGAGCACCCTGAGGGAACTCGGCGTAACTTATGAACTTTCCACCGTAGAAATCCCGACTAACATCAAAATTGAAGTTAGCCAGGACCTCACAAAAGTAGAAGGCCTGTCGCATAGCATGTTGGAAGCCGGCATCGTGCTGGTCGAGAATTTTCTCGGTGGCCTCGGCTTCGAACTTGGTAGCAGCCTCATTTAGCCGAGCAATCTCGGCAACTGCAGCGGTGGCCTCGACTTTCATTTTCTGGACCGTCAACTTCAAGTCGTCGGCCTCTCTCCTATGGGCGTCGGCTGCCCTCTTCAGTTCTTCGACCGACTCGGTGACCTTTGCATTGGCGGTCAATGCCTCCTTCAACGTCGCCTCAGCCTCCTTAAGCCGCCCCTACAACCTCTCCTCGAAGACAGCCGACCTCATCATAACATGCTTAGCAATTAGGGAGGACGTTTGGCACAAGGAAATTCGAACCGGCCACGACCACCGAGGTTAGCAAAACCGACTACACTAGGAACATGCACACTACTACTAGCGGTCGGAAGCAACATCTGCCATTGCACGCCGAGAACCACAACCCTATACAATTAAAACGTCTTCGTCTTTCCCATCCTCGACGCTGCGGGGGTTGTATACCGTATGGTGGCTGACTAGGCCGAATACCCGAGTTCGTGGCCGACTAGGCCGAATACCCGAGTTCGTGCACCGGATTAGCCCCCTAATTTCCCGGGGCCCAGTCCTTAATTACGGCCCAATAAGAATAACTATAAATAGGACCCCAACGAGGTACGTAACAAACTTTTCAACTACCGCATTTAATACGTCGAGCACTTACTTGAGCGTTGGAGTGTCTTTGCAGGCACCCCCCCTCATTTCGGACTACTCGGAGAAGGACGAGAAGACCTAGACCCCGGACCCGACCTGCTACAACAAGGATAATTGGAGTGTGTATCCTAACACAGGAACACCATCCATAACCATGAGATTGAGAGGCTAAATTGATTTCTTTTCATATATTTTTAGGAACTAAAATAATACTAAAGTGATTGAGAGGCTGAATCAAAGCTAGCATATCCAAATTAAGAAATAGAAACAAAATATACAACATAAAAAACTTTTAGCAACATTTAAAAAATATTACATAATTAAGTATAAATGTTACTAATTTGCTTTGACAACATATTATCAAATGTTGTATATAGTCCATATTGCTAAAGATTTTTTTATAACATTTTTACACAATTAGGTAACATTTTTCTATGTTATCAAAGTAATATTTTTGTGGCATTTTAATGATGTTGCTAAGTTTTTGTTAACTTTATAAAAAGATAATTAATTTTAATTCAGATATTACTATCAATTATTATATTTTTATGCTTCTTAAACTCCTTGAAATTCTTTAAGAGAAGATTAAAGACATTCTTAATTAGTCACCACTAATTATATATCAAATGTCAAAGTCCATTTATCTTAAGTATATATAACTATATGATTATATATACTCTTTATGAGTCATTCATTTATTCGATATGAGACTTTAATTAAGAGTAACAATTAGATATGAGAGAAATATACTTTTTTTTTACTCGATGTAGGACTTTGATTTTAAAAGTAATTATAATAACATTTTTTTAAAATGTTGCAAAATAACCTATATAACATTTTTTTATTCAATATGAGACTTTGATTTTGAAAACAAATAGAAAGAATAATATTGAAATAAAAAATATTACTCTATCTATAATAACATTTTTCAAAAAAATGTTACAAAATAACCTATTTATTCAATATATAGTAATATTTTAATAAATATAAGAAAGAAAATATTACTAAAGAGTTAAAACGTCGTTATGAGAATCTAAAGCTAAAAAGATTGAATATCAGGTGCTATATTTCCCTATATAATATGAAAATTGAGAAAGTTAGCTAATGTACTTGAAATAAACGAACAAGCGATCATT